GGTAAAAGAGTAGCCCAAGAGTTGGCGATGGGTGGTGATGACTAGCTGCCTTCCCTCTAGTCTTATACTGCTAAATTAGGGACGGCTAGCGCAGATAGCCCTCGTGTAGCTTTGCGCGAAATTCAAAAACAAACAAACATTGTTAGGAACGGTTATAGACCTGAAGAAATTATATAAGAAGTAATCTTTTCAATTTTCATGAAACTTTTTATCAAACCTTACTTTCTAAAGTCACGTCTGAACAATTGAACATTTCTAATCAAAAGTAAATAAAATATACAAATTAGAATAAAAAGAAACTTATAAATAAATACACCACAATTCTAAAATCTATAATTATTAGAATGTATTGAACTATTGATTTAGTACTCTCATTCGATAGCAATCCAAAAATATCTCACGAGGGTCGTTCGTGTATATCAGGAGATCATAGGTTAGTCCTAAACAATATAAGCTACTATTCCTAATTCCAAATGTTAACCAGAAAACTAATTCAGATTTATTACAAATACTATAGCCAATAAAGTTCAACAGAAATATGACTCAAACTTTAGTTGATCATTCCTTATGTGGCATATTCCAGTACACGGATTTCACAAAGTGCAGTCAAGGTCAACTAACCAATGTATGGATCTGCGTTCTTTCTTTCAACTCTACTGAATTCGTTGAAATAGGGGAAAAAAAGTAATGCACTACCATAAAAGAAGAACAAGTAAGAGTGTTGAACTGGTAAGAGAAATTACCTATCCAATGTGAGCCTTCAATATAAGCTAAAGAAAGTTGAACGAAAAAGATCCCCTAACAGCTAGAGTAAAGTGGCTGCTAAAATTCGATTAAACAAAGAACTACATGAAAAAGTTGAAAATAGTAAAAAGCTCTCTAAAAAAAACGGAAGAACGTGGCTTTAAATTCTAAAAACAACAAAACTGCTCACGCAGTGCAGTTCGCACACGTGACCTAGAACCATAGTGTTCCAGCGTAGGGATGTGGATGTCCCTCGGCCATTACTCTGTTCACCAACTGAAAAGACAACTGTCTATTTCAAAACATCACGAGTGTAGTAAGAACTATATTCTCTATAAAGGCACAAGAGTAATGGCTTACTAACGAATCTCATTTGTGCACCAGAGTAAGAAAAGTTGTTTACTTGAGCGACTCTCTGCATCCAAACTGAACTGATAGAAAAACAGAAAATTTACATAGTGATTAAACATGGTATCATCCTTTACCAAACTTACAAAAAAAAAAGTCTTTTGCTTACTAATACATAAAATCTGAATATACTTTTAAGTTTTAATTTATTTGCAGTAATACATTTAAAAAGAAATATTCATAGAGGACAGTTACAAAAAACACCTAAAAATCCACTAGCAATCAATCCTTACGAATATACTGATAGTTGTTGCCAGTAGGTTACATTATGAACAAGTTTTTTTTTTCTTAACTATTTAAGCATAAAATGACTGTGGGTCAACGATGTTTCTGGTTATAGGTTTTCTTATAACTTACTAGTTTTACAAGAACAAAAATTAAATTACATCAATGTTACAATTAATCTCACTAATTCGTGCTGGAATACCATATGTGTTTTACCCGGTTTTCATATTGACTGTTATCATAGACAAGACATTAAACGGTATAAAACAAAGTGGGTAATATGAGGGTTAACACTGTAATTAAAACATGAAATTGGTGGAATGACTGTTCTGCTTGATTTGTT